TGTTTTATGAGTAAGCCGATTCTACACCCAACTCCCCCCTGCGATCCGAAGCACTTCTTCTGCTTTGTCCGCGGGGATAACGCCAACCTCAATGGCCTTGTTGCCACTTTCGCTCTTGATGCACCTTACGCGCAGGCATGCTTGAAGGGTTAGGGGCTTACTCAGTACTACTCCCCTGCTAAAACAAACACGGGCTATTTTGATCGATTGGCTAAAGCCTGAGAAAGCGGGCTAGACCTCACAAACCCGAGATCGTATTCTTAGGGGCTGAGTACCCTAGCCCAAAAAAGGTTAACCTTTTGAACTATACTAGGATTATATAAGCCCCAAAAGGTTAAAGGCTAGCTACTCAGCTCCTAAGCATTACCCAATCTTCTCTAATTTCGGGGACCTCGGGGTTCGGCATAACTCAAAGGCTTAGGGTTTAGGGTTGAGGGTGTTATTTTGGGGGTCGTTGTGACAAGGGTTCTACTTCGGTGAAGCTTTTAGTATAAGGCCCCAAACTAAACGCCGTGACACGTAAGCTTAACCCAAGGCCCAAACCACTACTTAGGTAGCTTTATCCGACGTTTATGACTCTGTGTGTTTATACTGAAAATATCTATCTATATATATATATATATCTACACATGCTTACCTATTGGTTTAGACTCTTTCTGCATTTACACGATGCAAGCAAGCTGCCACCGCAGGACCCCTGCAGCCGCGCTCTCGGCACTGACCAGCCTTGTGCGGATTAGCCTCCTTACTAGGGGTCGATGTCAGCGGCCCCCAAAAATTGACATCTGTGTTAAACCAGAACAGCAAATGGTACCTCATTTTCCCGAATGGGTACCCAGTTTAGTGTCAATATTCAGGGCTTCCGGGGTGTAGAGTTAAAGAGCCAAAGGTTAGGATTGACAAGGGTCAAGGGTTAAGGGTTGGCAGTGTAACGGACCAAGATAGTGAGGGCTCATAGGCTTTAGTATTGCGGTTTGGAACTTTCTTCCCGTCTCTGTCTCTCTCTCTCTCTGCCTCCATCTATACATATGTATAAATCTGTATATATATATATATAGATATATATAGAGAGAGAGAGAGAGGGTCACCCAATTTGTGACGTGCTCTGGTTGGGTTCAGACACACACTCTGCTCTACTTAGCAGGAAAATACAAACATACATGTTGGAGATCCCTATGAAAGGAACCATATCCCAAACGGAACAAACTAAGAGCGTACCCAAGAGCTCTGTAGCAGAAACTGGCCCCAAACCCTCTTCTCCATAAAACCCCCACCATGGCAGGGTGAGGACTCAAGAACACCGGGATCAGGCAAGAGGCATCGTCGGTCCGTTACCTGGTCGCGCTGCGGAGTTCAAGATATTTCGGTCTTTTAGGGTTCAAAAGGTGTTGTTACATGAGGTTTAGGGTTCTACAGGGGATTTTGCATGAGGTTTAAGGATCTACAGGGTTTTACATGAGGTTTAGGGTTTAGGGCATTTGGGGGGTTGGAGGGTTTTGGCGTTCAAAACGTGGGTATCCTCACCAACAAACTCTACTCGCTACTCATCACCATCCGATGTGGGAGCTAGGATCAGGGGAACCCTTGGGGATATAGACCCTCTCAATAAGGTCCCTTTTAAGAGAGCCAAAAGTAGGGTTCAGAAGGGGTACCCTTTAAGGGGTGCCCCTAATAATACTACCTACGATGCACCTGGGAGCAGTCTTGGGATGGAGGTCATGGGGTTCAGGGCAGCACCCAGAGACTCCAATATCCCTTAATTAAGGAATATACCTTAAATCATATCAAGGATCCTACTATAATTTAAGGAATATTCCTTAATTAAGGGATATTGGAGTCTCTGGGCAACTTGACGGCTTCGGTTCAGGCCTTTGGTTTCTGAGGGTTGGACTTTAAGGTCTATTAATTGCTCCATTGATTCTGCAGTTTTGTGGTGCTTGTTTGAAGGCGCTTCGGGTTTATGATGGGGAGGTTTGGCTCAAGGAGTAGGACTGGCTTGTACGCTCCTTTGACTTCATTTTCAGGGGTACTCCGACATTGGCTCCCAGAGGGCATACTACAGAGGCGTGCTAAGTCAAAGCACCCCGAGAGCCAAGAGGCCGGATTAAGCTAAACCCTCTGGCCCGATCTAAACGCTGCTGATGAATTAACCCCTTGGTTGGTGAAGGCTCCAAACCCTAAACCCTTTTGCAACTGGCCTGCCCCGACTCCGCCTCAACCCGAAACCCCTAAACCCTAAACCCTAACTGCCCTAACTTTCTATCAAACCAGTCATTCCGGGATGTCCGCCTTACGAACCCTTCAGGGTCTCTAGATATGGAAGTTTCCGAAAATAGGGAACCCTAATATAGTACCCTAAATAGTAGGATCCTTATTATAAGGACCCCCAAAACAAGGTACCCTCTATTTTCGGAAACTCCCATAATATCTTCTTGACTGACTTCTGAACCCCTCCAAAGAGTTAAACTTTTAGCGCCCTTATTGTAATTCATATAGAAGCCCAAAAAGTTAAAATCCTAAGAGCCAACCAGAAGAACACCAAGTCTTTCAGAACCCTGAACCTTCAGCCCGAACTCCGGAATGCTAGCCTCCGAAAGCCTTTCGAGCTCCCTGGGTTTAGGGGTATAGGGATTAGGGGCTTAGGGTTTTAGGGTTTAGGGGTTTAGGGGTTTGGGGGTTGAGGGATTAGGATTTAGGATGACCCTACACTTGGTTGCGAGGCTATCGAGGGGTGCCACGTCACAGGCCCGCTTTGCAGGTCTTACTGCCACTAACCCGATTCCATCCGAGTCCAACTCACAAAACAAACTCCTTCTGGCAGGCTTGGGGTTTAGGGTTTAGGGTTTTGGGTACATCCCCTGATGCTGGATCCTATCTCTACGGTAGAACCCATGGGCCCCGAGTATGGGCCCTTAACCCTGGGACCCTAATATACCTACTATATACCCTATATATACCCATTAGAGACCCTAGAAGCCCCTAAGGGCCCACGTTAGGGGCCCATGGGTTCAACCTTAGACTATCCACACAAAAACCTAAGGCTATCAGCCCTTGCTGCTCAGCTGCTGCACTGAGCTTCGTCAGCACCGCGGAAGTTCCAGTTGTGCTGCGAGCAAAGCCTTGTAGTTGATCCGGGGTAATGTATGGGCCTTTAATAATTAGAGTAGGGTTTTGGGGTATATTATACTATAATTTTAATAAGGAGCCCCCAAAATGGCATTGGTAATTATTTAGGCCCCTATGCTACGATACATCGTCTGTGATGGGGGCCTGATAGGGGGTACCACTGCTTTTGTGCAGCTTGATGCCAGAAGCTGATAGCCATGGATTTCTTGGCAAAGCACAGCAAGAGATCAGTGGAACTTCGCGTTTGGGCTCTGGGCCCTCAGGATTGAGGCCCAACCCCGAAGCAACAAACACTGCAAGCAATCCTGAAACCCAAAGACCCGAGTCATGGAATTGGGTGTCTTTTTGCTTTTGTTTAAGGGCTTTTTCGCACTCCGAAGCCCGTCTAGGTTTGGGGTTTAGGGTCTGCATTACCTGGCATCAGCTCGAGATCGCAGAGGTAAGCCCCTAAGCTCCAAAGCCCTATGCCGGAACCTTGCAACCTACCAAGATCTCTTAATCGCCTACTGTTGCAATAAACTTTCCAACCCCTGTAAATCCCAACACCCGCAAACCATATCAGGATATGGGCCTGGGTTCATCCTGCTTACAGCCCTGGGTCCGACAGCTGTTTTGCGGAGTTTTGGCTGTCACTCTAAGAGTTTCTGCTTCTCGACCATTTGGCTCGGGATTGTGCCATGTCACTCAGCGTCCATGGTGGCATGGACCAATCGCTGGATCGTCTTGCGAACCTTCTTCTCCTCACGTGCTCTACTGCTGTGCTCAAACATGAATCCGGAGCACGAAACTGCAAACGGCTTCATATCTAAATCTGTACGCAGAAGACCCGACAGAAAGCCTAGCGACCAAGTCTAAAACCCCACGCTTACTCCCTATTTCGCAAAAAGTTTTCTCAAAGCTCAGGACCCCAAATCCGTGCACGCTAAGCAAATCAGAGCACGCCACTACAATACAACCCCCCCTCCAAAACAAAAACAAAAACACACACACACACACGCACACAAAACCCGCAACACAAGTCCCTAAGTAAACCCACAGTTTTTAAATAAATCGAGGTGGGAGCCTGAGGAAGTATCGGACGCGACTGGTAATATGGAAGCCTTTCGTTACGTTACATTGTCATAGTAATATAGGGGCCTTAATACTTCTTATTGGGTTTTGGGCGTCTATAATACCATGATTATCATAAGAACCACCCAAAATAGCATAGGTAAGAATTAAGGCCCCCACCCATATTACTACTAGAGATGAGGTTCGCAAGATCCTGACTGCAATTATGAAGATCTTCTAAAACCTTGACGCCGTGGCACCGTCATCAAATTTTGCACAGCCTGTTCCAAACCCTACAAACCAAACTCGCCCCCAAAAGACTGATCCCTAAACGCCTAAACCCTAGTCTAAAGAAACTGCTTAGGGTCTAGGGTTCATTAGGGGCTCTAAACCCTAAACCTTAAAACCTTAAAAGAATGTTTCTAGGGGTTTAGGGGTTTGGGGTTTAAACAGGGCCCTAAACCCTAAACCCTAAAACCTTAAAATAAAGTTTATAGGGGTTTAGGGTTTGGGGGTTTAGGGCTTAGGCTGACGAAGTCTCTTTCGGCGGCTTGTCGATGCCCACCCAGGCAGGGGTGGGTTTCAAGGCTTCGTACCTCAGGAAAGCGTTGATGCCTTTAGGTTGTTTGGGGTTTAGGCTTTTAGACTTCAGAAACCTAGGCTTTAGGGTTCAGAACCACGCTTTAGGGTTCAGGGTTTATGCTCTCGCAACTTGGCACAGCCAGATGAGGTCTCTCTGTTCGCATTTCCAAAACGAATACCCTATACCCCAGTCCTATAGCCTAAACCCTAAATAGTCCCAACGATAGATAGATCGGAGCCGCTCATGCCCGACGACAACCATCCGACATGGGCTCCATCCAGCCTGTCTTGAACAGCTTCGAGCTCAAAAGGAGGCTATGAATATCTGGGTTGCAGTTTTGGGGCCCTGAAAAGTATTTATGAATAGGTACCTCTATAGAGACCATAAGGGAAATTCTTAAGTTCCCCAAAGTGCCACCTAGATATGGTTGCTATCATTGCAATACGTAGATTTCTAGGTTTCGATATCGGGTCTTAGAAGGCTGCGTCGAGCCGAAGATTCGATGAGGAAGCCCGCGCCCTGCTACAAGTAAGTCGCAGGTTTAGAAAAATACCTTAAAGAAGCCAGCAGGTACTTACCGCGATACTTACCACAGTTATAAGTTATAACTCTACTTTTAACTGCCGCCCTGGACGAGGATCACCAAAACCGTTGCCCTCGTGGCTGTGAGGTTTAGCCAGAGTAGTGGCAGCAAGAATCGAGTGAGAGTAATACCCTACAAATGCCGAAGAGACACCCGCGGTACAACAAGCTTAGCGGCCAAAATGACAGATAGAATGTCGTTCATGGTACCGAGTCTATACTTCAGGATGTCCTACATGCGAGCGTAGCATCGAGCTTGCTATCGGGCTCTATGTGCTTTTCGGGCATGGCACGGAATATGTTGCGCCACACCTCGGCACACTGCTTGCCACTTCTCAGAAATAATGGCTAACAACAATAGCAGCCAGAAAGTCTTTCACTAAACCCCCAGGACAAGCAACAAACACCACCATCATCATCATCATCATCATCATCAACAACAACACGACCATCACCATCACCATCATCATCATCATCACCGTCATGGCTCACCGTCATCAGCATCACGTTCACATTCACAATCATCACGTATACCTGTATCATCGCCAACATCGCCAGAATGGTCACCACCACCACCACCACCACCACCACCACCACCACCACCACCACCACCGCTGCCATCATAACGAACGTACAGTTGGAGAGAACGGAGAATATGAAACATCTACATCTCGCTGGAATATTCCACATTTTTTGCAGCAGATGAGTTGAGAGCGCCTAGAAACCTACCAACTTCTGCCGGCTCTCGGCAAAACTCCAAAACCCCAAACCGTCTTGCCTGGTGTTGCACCCACCCGGCACCCGATGGGTCGAGAGCAACTTGTTCGACAACTTCTCCATCCTGCACGGAAGGCTGGATTTTGCTGAAGGTTTAGGCTTCTTCCCTTCCATGGCAATGGCTACTTAGTGAAAGCTTGACATTCAAGGAGTTGCACTTGCACCGGTTATCCACGATTCAGGTGTGTGGCAATGCTAGCTGCTAGCTGTTTTTGTAAGCACTGAACATCATCTGACAACAGTTGCAAGCTGCACCTGTGTCAATTTGGAGCACAACGAACCCTTCGATAATGCTCTAGACTTGCCTAAGGATTGTAACGATTCTGATTGCGATTTCATAGAAACGTCCTTCCACAAGTTCTCATCACTGTGGAACCGCGAGCATGTGTGGTTTAGGCTTTGGGAGCTGGGTTCTGCAATCTGAGTTTGATGCAGATCATTAGAGTGTCTTTGATCGGGAGAACACTTGGCGACGCCGACATCCAATGACACGCCCCCGCAAGTCGTAGTCTTCGTTTTGGACTGGTTGTCTTCTTTTTGGTACTGTTCTGAAATCTTGGTCGCTAGGTCGGTCCTGACTCATACCCCTAAACCCTGAATCGTGAAGCCCTGCACCCCTAAGCCCTGAAACCCTGCATCCCCCCATCTCCCCCAAAAGAAACAACTGCAGCCCCACAGCGCTAAACCGCACCTTCATGGCCCGCCGTCCCTGCGACTCGCGTGAAGGCGCCGCATAAACAGGCCATGCCTGCAATGCATCTTGGGCAAGGCTTTCTCGTGGCGTTTTGCAAGAATTCAGGGTATGGGGGTTTCTTTAGGGATATTTACAGCCTCAGGGGTGCAGGCAGCAATAGTGTTGGATACAAGCTGCCTGTCACTACTGGATGACTTGTGACACGCGACACCCCCAACCTTAAATGCTCAAGCAATAAAGCCTCAACCTCATCAGGGTTTAGGGCTTAGTCTTTACCCTGAAACCCACAAAACAACCCTTAAGCTGGACAACCGAGCCTCTGTTGGCCTTAAACCGGCCATCAGATCACTGTAGGGCCGTAGGGTTGTAAGGTTTAGGGGTTTAGGGGTTTGGGGTTTAGGTTTTAAGGAACTCGCCAAGGCCCTATCGACAGGGCTTGGGGTGGTGACGGAGCTCCACGATGCCAGGGTCCGGGGTGCAGGTCTTATTCGTTTAGGGCAACCCCTAAAACCTAAAAAACCCTAAGCCTTAAATCTTCAACCCTAAATAACCCTAAAGCCTAAATGACCCTAAAATAACCCTAAACCATAAAAACCTAAACCCTTAAGTTCAGGGTTGATTGGGTTTGGGTCTAGACCCAAAAAGGTTTCGGGTTTTGAGTTTCGGGTTTGGGGTAGCGCGCCGTCCGAAAATCCTGTGCATAAGCGGCAACATTTCACGCGCTTACATCATAACTTCAGGACAGACATCTTAAACCTTTAGCCAAGGATGTGAACCAAAACCAACCTGGGAACGCTCAGCACAACGCTTGGTTGACGGGTACTTAAAGGATCATGGGACTTAGTAAGTAGGGTTATAATTAAGGAAACTGTATTTATATTTCCCCAATTAAAGGACTTATAACCTTACTTACTCAGTCCCATGATCCTCCAAGTAGGGTTTAGGGTTTGGGGTTTAAGCCCTAAGCCCTCAACCCTAAAAGCCCTAAAAGCCCTAAACCGTTTGGGTTTAGGGTCGCTGATCTCTCAAGGGTTCCTGCCCAGCCGCACAGGCTGTGAAGCCCTGGCCCCTCGTCAACTCGAAGGCCCCATGAAACCCAAAGCGCCCTGCACCCTGAACCCTATCTCAGGGTTTAGGGTTTAGGGCTTTTAAGGTTAAGGGTTTAGGGCTTTTAGGGTTTAGGGTTTATAAACCCTGAGCCTTCAAGGAAACTGCAGGTGGGGAGTTTAGGGTATGTAGGGCTCCTATAAGGCTTCCATAAGGTATATAGACCTTCTATATGGCTCCTATAACGGTAACTACCCACCTGAAAAATGTTCGAGGTGAGCCCTAAGCCCTGAACCCGAAACCCCATAACCGTAAACCTTGAACCCCAAACCCTAAACCCTAAACCCTGAACCCAAAGCCCCAAACCACTGAAGCTTGAACCCAAAATCCTAAACCCCCAAAACACAAACCCTTAGAAACTACCGAATACGCAGACTTGCCTTGACCGCCTTGGGAAGCTTCACCTGGGCTTAGGATTGATGGGTGTGGGGTTTTCCCTCGATTTGTGGTTTAGGGTTTAGGGGTTTAGGGTTTAGGGTTTAGGGGGTTTGGGGATGGATGGGTTTGGCATTCAGTATAGGAGCCTTAATAATTAGAGTAAGGTTTAGGCTTGACTTTATTTTTTCTATTTTCCTCGGCCCCGTTTCCATCCGAAAGGAAAGCATCCGAACACCGTATTGACAGGTTTGGGGTTCCAAGAAGGGGGAGTTTAGGATTCCGCGGCTTTGGGGCTTAGGGCTCAGTTTCAAGAACATGGATGTGTTTAGAGTGGCCCTACAAGCCCTCAAGCCATCCTGCAATGTTCCATTACTGTTCATCGTGAGCTTTAGCCAAGAACTTGTGTACCAAATTTAATGTACGGGCCTACAGAATTAACAATGCCATGTTGTGGGTTGCATATTTAAGGCCCCTATATAACGTTGGGCCAGTATCAAGCACGGCAAGGCACCCGAAAGCCATGAACGTCCTAAGCCCTCCAGCCACAGTTCCTAAACGCTCTTGCGGCTTAAGGCCCAGGTTCCGATGTTATAGGTTGGCGGGCTTCCCACAGCTTTTGAAGCAATGTAGATGCTGCTTCAATAGGTGTGTATGGGCTTTCAGCTTTTCGGGAATCGGTGCGTCGGTGCGGTTCCGACTCTTGGGCAGTACGGTGGCTGAAGTTTAGCATAATTGCTTTGGCGCTCCGATTAGAAGCAGAATGCATCGAACGCTTCGAGGCTCCTCATTGTCTCTGTGAACCCCCATCAACACCCTAAATCACAAACTCCGAAACCAAAAACCCTTAAACCCTAAATTCACAGAGCCCCGGACAACTAAACCCTAAATCAGCCTCCCCTTGGCCCTGCCTGCCACAACGGTCGGATCTTCATTGCCTGCTCCATACTTCGGCTAGTTCTAGGTGCTTTAGCTTCGGGGGAGGGGTGTGAGGGGTTCCTTTAATAATTAGAATAGAGTTTTGGGGCCTACTACTACAGCTATAATAAGGAGCCCCCCAAAATAGATTGGTAACCTATTATACTATAGTTATTGGGAACCGATTATACTTCAGTTATAATAAGGAAGCCCCCAAAATAGTATTGGTAACCCATTATACTATAGTCAAAATAAGGAAGCCCCCCAAAATAGTATTGGTAACCTATTATACTATAGTTATAGTAAGGAAGCCACCAAAATAGTATTGGTAGCCTATTATACTATAATTATAATAAGGAAGCCCCCAAAATAGTATTGGTAACCTATTATACTATAGTTCTAATAAGGAAGCACCCAACATAGTATTGGTGATTATTTAGGCCACTACATCAGGTGGCCTTAAGGTTTCATCGGCTTCATGGTGTCGCGCTTCAGCTGGTTTACATAGGCTTTATTGTTTGGGCTCCCGCAACTCAGACGATGCAGGCCAGGCTGGTTCGGTTCGAAGGGCAGCGCATGAAGCAACAGATGATTAAAGGAAGCTACAGGTGGGGAGTTTAGGGTTTAAGGTTTAGGGTTTATAAACCCTGAGCCTTAAAGGAAGCTACAAGTGGGGAGTTTAGGGTATATAGGGCTTCTATAAGACTTCTAAAAGGTATATATACCTAGACCAGATACATGTATGACAGTTTTCCGGTGCAGACTTTCACAATCTCACCCACCCGCCAAACAACCATCAAATCCAGTGTTTACGGTTTTTCAACTAAACCCTAAACCCTAATCCATAACCAGTCCCCGAGAAGCGCACCTGGCCCACACCCTGGGATGGTGGCACGTCGATGGGCACGAGCTCGGCCGGCTCCTGAATCTCAGGTCTTCTTGTTCCATATGTACATATATATGGTATATATATATATATACAAGTGTATGTATATATATATATATATAAGCGTGTATATGTAAGCCTATACATCAGTACATATACATATATATATATATACAGGTACGGTAGATAGATAGATAGATAGCTAGATAGATAGATAGTTTTGTTTCAGTGTCTCTTTAAAAACTCAAGCTTGCTAAATTACTCGTTTGCTTGAAAAGAATACTTGACATAGAGCCCTTTGTGGTTGGGATTTGGTGAAACTCTATTATCACACCCAAACCTTGCGCCCTGAATCTCTATACACCCTTTTCCCTAAACCCCTAAACCCCTAAATCCCAGAGCCCTTTACAACTAAACTTTAAACCCGAAAACGAAAACAACCGCAGGCTTAGGCCTCAGGTGCTTTTTTCTCGGCTTTCTCTTGGGCCTCGGCCTCTTCGCCTGCCAGGAATATCTCGGAGGTGTGTTTTTTGTTAATAGGGTTCCTTGTGGAAGGTTCTATTATGGTTTTACGGGGCCTATGACCTTTTATCGGCAAACTGGTTCACAAAAGACTCATGTTGGATTACAGTATAAGGGCTTTGGGCGTTGCTTTAGGTTTTGGGGGGTGTAGACATCTAAACTTTTCGGGGCCCTACCTTGCTATCAAGATCAGCGAATAGGGTTCATTCCTGCGGTTTTGCAGTCTAGTTAGTCTATCGTTTCGGGTAAAAGTTGCTGGATGTCGGTTGGAAGGTTTAGGATTCAAGGTCTATTGCTCAGAAATCACCTTTGACTTACGGTCATGTTCAAGGTTGCAGAAGCCAAAACATTGATGATATTCGTGATGGTGAGAGAAGACAAACATGGCAACCGTGCATACCGAGAAAAATAGTCCGGTTGAGGGTTTGCTTTCAGGTTTAGAGTGACGGGCTTTGCGTTTCGGTGTTAGTCCAAATGCCCGAAACAAACCCAGAGCCCTCTCCGAAAGCCATGAATGCAACATGCCTTTGTTAATTAACCCTAAACCCTAGACCTTAAACCCTAAACTGAAACCCGAACCCATCAGCTTCGAATCCGAGACCCTCTGACTCTAACCCCTAAGTCATGGATCCTAAGCCCTTAGCACGATATCCTCAACCCTGGGCCCCTAAACCCTAAATCCTATACCCTAAACACCAAACCCAGAAATCCTCAACCCTCAACCCAAAGTCCCATCTCGCAAATCCTGCGCCGGCCCTTTTCTCCCGGCTTCTTCTCCACCATCTGAGACGCCCCCGGGTCTCTGGCGACAAGCCGAGTCTCTCAGCTTTGCAATGTCCGAAGACATTTTGGGGGTTTAGGGCTCAGGGCTTTGGGTTTCGGGGTTTGGGGTTTAGGGTTTAGGGCTCAGTTTCTTGGGGGTGAGGATTACAGACCTTGCTCCCTTTTGCAAAAGGCTCTATTGAAGCTGCGTGCTCCTAGGGTTGAGGATGTAGGAAATCGGCTCTGCTGCTTTTCTTGCTGTGCTTCAGCAACCGATCAGGCTTTGCGAGTATCGGGCTTAAGAGGCTTAGGGTAAAGGGTTTCGGAATTCAGGGTTTAGGGGAACTAGGAACTAACACAAAACCCTAAACCCTAAACCCTAAACCCTAACTAGTAACTAACCCTAAACCCTAAACCTTAGTAACTAAGGAGGGACCCCGACACGATTTAGACCAGTTTAAAGCTGCATGGCTTAGGTCAGGCCCTGAACCCCTAAACTGAACGGTAGACCCTATTCTTAACCGTAACGTGTAGCGCTGAAACCTGAACTAAACCCTAAACCCTGCACTAATCCCTAAACTAAAACCTGAACGAAACGTAAACCAAACCCGATAACCTTAAGCTTAACCGTAACCCAAACCCTAAACCCTTAGTTGACATCTTTTGGAGGCTCCGCGTACTCTGGCATCGCAGGCATCTCTTGTCGATGCCTCCTTGGCTGACTTCTGAAGTCCGGGTTTGCGGTTAATATAGGGGCCTTCATAATTAGAATAGGGTTTGGGGGTATATTATATCATAATTATAATAAGNNCCCCCCCCCCCCCTTCCCGCCCCCCCCAAAATAAATATAGGGAATTTTTGAGGCCCCCATAAAAGGGTTTAGGGTTCGGGTTTGGTGCTAGGACTTAAGGCCGGAACCCAATCCTCGACGTCGAGACCTCCTACCAGCGACACTTTCCAGACAGTACAGAAGGGTTTAGGGCTTAGGGTTTAAAACTGGGCTCTTGCAAGTCAACGAAGCAGAATACCTGCTATGAACTCTTCCCAGACCCTTATAAAGCCCGTCAACAAGCTAATAGAACATCTTATTATTTGGAAAACTGATAGACCTGATAGAACCAAAATGAAAACGACCACTGTGTTTGTGAAAGCCGTAAACCCTAAAACCCAAAGC